ACCCGTAAATGATACTTGGGAATTCGCAATAAAGAAGGAATGTAATAGGAGGGTGATGTGCCGGTATAAATATGAGTATCTGTTGGGCATTGCCATAAAAGCAAAATTAAAGATCTCTTTATCACTTATAATGGTTGGCGGGATGATAATTAATTTTCTCCAAACGTTCCCACTTAGTTAACGAGATTTATGGCAATCCATCGGTTAAGCTCATCCTTTCCTCGGTTGATCAATTTTTATTATTTCTTTGTGCTTAACTAATTGCGCCAACCAACATAAACCAGCGTTAATAAATAATTAAGGGAATATCGGGGTGATTTTAAAAGTGCAATAAATTTGATTGCTGCCAGTAACCATGCGACTTAAGGTCGGAAACTTTAGCGGAAGGGCAGGCAGCCGAGTCTCATAAACTCTGACAATACGGTTTAATTTCTTTCGGAAGTTTAATAGCATAATGGTTGCTGAATCTAGACACTCGTCGGAACTTTTTCTTTATATCAAGACAGATCGTTCTTGAAGGCGATAATTCAGCTGAATTCTTCTTTTCACGCAAATCTGGGAAAAAATGACCAGAAAACGTGAATGAAAATAGCAGCGAGAGTTAATTTGTTTGTGCAAGTTTGAAATCGCGTCTTCTCGCTCAATGCTCAGATATTTTAAGCCGTAATGGTACCAAGTTCGAACGCAAGTGTGCGAGTCAGAGAACCGATGCAAACTACGTTCTGGAATGGGAAAATCAGTTTCATTTCATAAAAATCAGATGATATTTTCAAAAGTCAGCGCCAAACTCCTATCGACGACGACCAAAAAAAGTAATCAGTTTCAAAAGCCCAAGCCTTTGGATAATGAAGAACTGATTTGACTGAACGATTATTAAATCCGAGAAAATAAAAATAAATTGCTCTAGATGGTAAAGACCGTATAAACTACAGCAATTTAAATTTAATTCGTCGACTGAAAACTAACAGTCTTTTCAAATCGCGTGCATGCGTATGTTCCCTAATGACTTGTGTATCCGTTTCGAGAGTCGTTAGGGGTAAGACGAGAGACCTGGGGGTTGATCAATTAAAGGGATTTTCAAGAGATTTGCTGGGTACTTTAGTGGTGGCACGATACACTCGGGCGCGTTTTGCATTATTATTTTTCTCTCTGCAAGTCAAACCGTAAAACAAGAGCGGAACAGTGGCGTGCGATGGCAACCGAAGACCAATTACCAGCAGCAGCAGGAGCGATTATTCTATTATATTGGCAACCGATGAAATCCAAGCACAAAAGCAAAAGAAGGATACCTGGGGGGCAGTTGACGAACAGTCTGGGGCCTAATGCCGGATTATATTACGAAAGAGATTCGAAATAAAACTAACTGTGCAAGTTTAGGTTGATAGACACTTGAATGAGCCTGTGAAATGTTAGCGCTGAACTTTTGCGTTTAACTCAAAGGTTTTTAATGACAAAGACTGGGAGGAAACTTGTCTAAGTCACAATAGCACCTGCACTAGAAACGGCACAAAAATATGTATAAAGAGCCATTTTTTCACTAAGAAAACTGTCTGAAGCAAGGTGTAGAGAAATGATGAAGTTGCCAACAATTTATTTCTGAAAATATACAGCCAACAGAAAGAAACATGTTCAGCTTCAGACAATAGAAACTCGCTATTTGAAAGGTCCAGTCCAGTGCGAATTTTCAGATGCTTGCGAGTTGAGTAAGGAAAGTCTTAAACAATTGGAGGATTTTTCAACAGCCGAAAATGTTGCAGGAATTAACAGAAAATTTGAGAAAACTTTACGATTTCCAGGTGGCACATTTGAAACTTCCAGCCCGAATCTTCAAGTGCTTGAAACTTGAATAGGTTAAGGGTTTGGAACAAATGATGGATATTTGAAACTTTTTCTCTAAATTTTCAAGTGCTTAAGAGTTGAACAAGAAAGGATTGATGACAAAGCAATATTTTTCTTAAAACATCAGCTAAACATCATTGGTTAAACCCGGTGAATGTCGCTATTTAGAACTTCCATCCTGAATTTTCAGATGCGTATGAGTTGAGAAGGAAAAGTACCTCCTAAATGGATGAATATTTTAGCAATTTATTGCGCACAAACTGTAGCAGATAAAAGCAAGAAATTTAGTCGAAAACATCAGGAAAACTTCTTTGTTCAAACCCGCAGAAAGTCGCCAAATGAAACTTTTTGTCCGATTTTTCAGACCCTTGAGAATTGAGCAGGAAAAGGGTCTTAGTCAAATGTGTGAATATTTCAACAATTAATTGCGC